ATAGATGTATGTACATACATACATACATACATACATACATACATACATACATACATACATACACACACATACATACATACATACAGACAGACAGACAGACAGGCAGACAGACAGACAGACATACAGACAAACATACATAGATACAGACATACAAACGAGTATGTACAGATATATAGGTGGATAGAGAGAGCGAGAGAGAGAAATATATAGACATATACTTATATACATATGCTTACATACGTATATATGAACAGAACCACGTATGTATTTACTTATATATATATATACACCTGAATGTATATGTACGTATATAAGTATGTCTGTAAGTGTGTATGTAAGGTTATATATATATATATATGTATATGTAAGTAGGTAGGCAAGTAGCTAGCTAGCTAGCTAGCTAGCTAGCTAGGTAGGTAGGTAGGTAGGTAGGTAGGTAGGTAGGTAGGTAGGTAGGTAGGTAGGTAGGTAGGTAGGTAGGTAGGTAGGTAAGTAGGTATGCGTGCATGTCATGTATGTATGGTGAATGTGCGTAACTATGTAGGCATGTATGTAATGTAGATGAACGCATGTTATACATGCATAAACGATGGACGACGAACGTATCCATCTATGGGGGTCGGCCGATACCGTAGATGGGTAGATGCTTGCTTGCCTAGAGATGTATGAGAATATATGTGTGACATGCATGTGCATGTAGATACGGTAGATACAGCCGCAGCAGCCAAGACACTCTGAAAAGCTCTAACCCTAAACATGCAGTCTTTGAAAGGCTACGGGATTCAGAACCGTGAAGCGCCGCAAACTAAGGCTTTGGAGCAAACCTATATTTCTCTGACTACCCATGTTGTGTTGAAAATCTGTTGAAAGAGTTGCAATCTTTGCCAGGCGCAGGCCGTTGGGACCGAGCTCACAGGAAGGGCACTTAGGCAATTCGACCGCAGTGTTGTGAGAGTCTGACGTTATCCCAACAGCGTACTTAAAAATGCTTGGGCGGACGCAGGACGAAACAAACAAGATTGCCTCTAAGATTTAGGAGGCGCTCGTGACGTCTCGCAACACTTCTCGGCACCAAGTGAAATTGCAGTGAAACCTTTCACACGGGGCGAGGAGTATATGAGTGTAGGAAAGAAATATTATAGCCAGCTTCTGAGCCGCATGGGTAAAATGGGAAAAGCACGCAGGGCATGCGCTGTTGCTTGATTCTCTTTCTTCTCATCAATGGCCTGAACGGAGTCTCTGTCGTCTTTCGGATGCTTGCCAAACAGGGACAGCAGTGTAGGCTGCAGCCGGCAGCAGCAGAAATGATTAAAAGACGAATGCACAACTTTAGTCTGCTTCTGTGACAAGCATAGAATATAGAATACTAGGCTTCGAGCCCCGAAGTGGCGAGTCACTGGGCGAGGTGCACTCAACTCTCGTCTTCAGAGTCAGAGTGCGCACTTACCTGGGTGCCAATTCTGGGGGTCGCGGGGTCCGGGGACTTTGTCCAACTATGTAACTAAAGCGGAATGTATAGGTTCAGGCATGTACCAGGCACATCAAGCATGTAATGTAGCAGTTGAGGCAAGACGTGCCGTTTTGCACAGGCCGGCACGGTAATTACTTGATCTGCTCAGTTCCGAGCATTGCAGACTTGCGCGGAGGCCATGCCGAGGATCTGACGACGTCTGCATCGTCATTCTGGATATTAAGTGACCCGCCTGGCAATCTTGCTGGGCAGAACAGATAGCTCTCGCACGCCCCCTAAAACCCTAAACCCGAAACCCCTAAAATCCTAAACTCCTAAACCCCTATCCCCCTACAGCCCTAAAGCCTTAACCCCAAAAACCCTATAAACCCCTAAACTCCCAAAGCCCGAAAGCCCTAAACCCTTCGTTGCCTTCGCTTGTGGGCGTATCGCTTCGTGAACTCTGGCCGGGCCCTGCTCTGCTTGGGCAGCTTTCGTTATGGGGGTTTAGGGTTTAGGAGTTTAGAGTCTAGGGTTTGGGGTTTCAGAGTTTGAGAGTTTCGACTCTCACACTCGCGCAAGGCCGGCAAGGCAGAGTTTAGGGGTTTTTAGTTGTTGTTGCCTCCGGGTTTTGAGTTTGGGGTTTGGGGTTTAGAGTTTTTGGTTGTGTCCGTGTTTAGAGTTTTGGGTTTGGGGTGTAGGGCAAAGTTTAGGGTTCAAGTGCTGTTCGGGATCAGGGAGTTTTGACATGGCGTGCTACGGGTTGCGGTTGGAGACAAGGCCTGCTTCCGCGAAACAACTGCTGGATATGACATTTGACGTGTTTATAGGGTTTACCCATAGGCCCCATAGTAGTTCCTTTTTGGGATTACCTTATAGGATTCTAAATATGAACCCCAAAAAGGAACTATGGAGCCTATGGGTAGGGTTTAGGTCTCATGAGTCCATGAGTCACGTGGCAAGCAGCTGAAGGGAAGTCTGAAGCTCACATTACCGAAGCCTGAGATGATCCCTGGCAGTGCAACGTGTGGAGGGCCAGTGCCGTGGCAGAAACGCATAGGACATGGGAATCGAGATGCCGTGCTCCTACTCTTGCTTGGTTTTTTAATTCAGTTCGGGGCTTCAGCCCTGTCACGATTAGGATTCATGAGTACTGGAGCGCTAGACTTCATGAAACGATGTATCAGACCTTCTCATGTCATGGAAGTTATATGGCTTTCCTGTAGATTCAGTATTGATAGCGTTTCAACGAGACCGAATGCAACAGCTTTCCCCAAGTAATTGCAAAGGCAAGGATTGGCGTGCTTTCTGTTCTCGTGAAGAAGATTTCCACGCGGCTCGGAACAGGTGCACTTCATGTCATGGAAGTTATATGGCTTTCCTGTAGATTCACTATTGATAGCGTTTCAACGAGACCGAGTGCAACAGCTTTCCCCAAGTAATTGCAAAGGCGGCAGCGACTGCGACTAAAAGAGTGCGTCCATAGATTGCGCGCAAACGAAGCAGTGCTATACTGTGCGAGTCCGTATGTCTGATGGTCGTCACTGCTTGTTCCCTTGTTCTGAAGGCTGAGCGGGCTACAGATCGGCAGTTGTCTGCAAGAAATTTGCTTCGCACTGCTGAAGT